TAATGATGTTACTTGAATTAAAACAGTTAATTTCTCTAAATATTCACAAATGACTAAGGAAGATTCGTATTGATTAAAACTTAATATACTTTATAAGGAAAACATGCATAGCTGTAAGCATTTGCATAGGTTTGCATTTACATATAATGACATTCATTTACATTTTAAGTATTTAGGATTTTTCAGGATTATGAAATACAAATTTAATCGAAATCAAAGAAACACTTGATATCATGTTAGTTATATATCTATATTTGAGTAGACATCTACCGTTATTTTACGTTTGAACATCATATAATTACCTGGAAGCAGAAGTATATCATTAGAATACAGTGATAATCATATAAACATTTAGCCCAAGAAATGCATTTATTTCTTTATGTATTTATTTATGTATTATTTTATTTATTTATTTATTTATTTATTTATTTTATTTATTTATTTATTTATTTATTTATTTATTTATTTATTTATTTATTTATTTATTTATTTATTTATTTATTTATTATGCTATTTCTCTTGGTAATAAGTAAATTACAGTGAATAAGTATTTTGTATGGAAAAAAAATGCTACATTTTTACATTTTGCTTTTTTATGACAAACTTATATTCAGCGCTGCTTTCATCAGCTGTTAAATATCAAACATGCTCTAAAACATTACTTAACAAAATATTATATGTTGATAGATTGTTTTATCTAGGGGCAAAAAGTACGTCATGTTGTTTTTCTCATGTTTACTTATACGGTGATAATTATAAACAACATGATGAAAAGATGTACTTTAAACAAAACAATTTCATGATATTAGACAAATAAAGTGGAAGGTCAAATGCTTTGGGGATAAAATGATGTAATATCGACGTAACCCCATTGTCTGTTATTGTCTGTCTTAGAAGCAGAAATGAGAAAGTTTCATTTCCTTTCTTTCGTCTCCATATTCCTTAATTTACGATACGAAATTATCGGAAAATCCAACTTAGACCAAAATCGATTTCATTTGGTAACATGAGATTGTAAATAATTGCTTTTTTATTTTGTTTTGTTAAAACAGTTTTATTTGTGAACTTTGAAAGAGAAAACCCTTTTCAAGTTATGCGGTAGAACTTTACAATTTAATCTAAATTTATTTATAACATTATTTTAATTGTCCTAATGTTTGGGATTCTTTTAATGGCAATATTATATTCAAAAAAAAAACTTTAAAGCCCAAGGAATCAAGTGTACATTCTGTTACTTATCGTTTCTAGGATCTAATGTTTGGCAAATTGAAGTTACTTGTATTAATTACATATTTTACAGAATTATTCAGAAAGGAACTTTTCAGATCATGAAAGTTTTTTTGTAAAGAAGCAAAAGCAAATATATATGACATTATTAGATTACGTTTATGTTTATGCATGTATATGTAATGCGTTCCAGAATAAAAAAGGAAATTCCAGATGTCCTTTTTCCGGGGGTCTACCTTAAGACACTTTTTCAGCAACAAATTTACATGCAAAAAGAGCGATAGATTGTTGCCAGACTTAGAGGAATAATTCCCCTATCTTTTAAACCTCAAACGCATTGTACCTGTCCGTTTGCAGATGATATCCCTTTATCTTTTTTCGAAGGATAATGTTGGAAATCGTTGTTCGGAATTATTTGATGAACACATATACGTATACATAAAAGAATGTATTTCTTATACTTTAAAAGGATAAGTAATACTGTCATTAATGCAGTTAATTCTCCGTAATTGGTATAGTGCGGGCATATGGACTAATACTGTTCAATTAAATGAATATACATGATACATTTTTCATTGCATTCCTCATACGTTAGTTTGATCTTTGCCTTTGATTGTTATTTATTGAGATGAAAATGTTGCATGATATATGGTTTACCCCTGTTTTATTGAAGAGGATATGATCAACGACAAAATGGAGAGTAATAATATAACTCAAACATTTGTTTTATTTTTGTGACAATTCGTTACTTTATTTAACATTTTCCATCATACATCATATTGTTACAATAAAAATATGTAGTAAGTAAACAACAAAAGTAAGAAGAAAATAGTTAAAAGCTATCTAAAACTGATGTTGATATTATAATTTTTTTAAGCTAGTAGTTACATATTATTGTCAATCAGCTATCTATTTATATAAAATACTTATCCATTTACCTAAAGTTTAATCATTATAAACATCAATTATCACCTTTTTTAGAAAAAAAATACTTGCGCAAAAATATAATATCTATTTTGATAATTAAATAATAATGATAACAAAAATAAACAAATAATAATAATAATAATAATGATGATGATGATTAAAATGAGAAAAAATCAGTCAGTTATTTTTAGAATAATGGTATAATGTCATACTATTTTTCTCATTTTACTACAGTAACTATGCTTAGAAGTCTTAAAATAAATATCAGAAAACATATTGCGCTCTAACAATATAATTGTTATATTTACCGGGATGTGTTTCCAAATTACCCATTTATACAGTATGGAAAGATAAGCTCCTTTTCTTTCTAACTTTTAACAAAATGAACAGGTAATTTACTCGTAAAATACATGTAAAGCAGTTAATAAAGAATTAAATGATAGGAAGATTTTTACTTTTTTTAATTATTCATAAATAAACAAATAGATAAATAAAGGGATGAATAAATAAGTAAATATAAGTAAATACATAAATAACAATATGAATACTAGTAAATAAATAAATGAATAAATATAAATGCATAAATAAATTAATGATAAATAAATAAATAAAATGATTTAATAAAGATAAAATAAGATAAATTATGTTAGTGATGTAATATAAAGTGAATTGAAATGTGATAAAAACATCAATTGGTTAAAATGTAATAAAAATGCGGTATATCATTATCCATAATATATGAGATGGTGTGATTTTTGTGTCATGAAAATCTATTGTTTTAATGATGAGTAAATATAAATAATTATATAACCTGGTTCAGAAAGAAGACAGATCTCACTCAACCAACGTTTTATTTCAAACGATTTTATGGTAATATGACACATCTTCAACTATTAATAATTTTGAAATAATATTCAAGATTATGCAGACATTTAACAGATAACTGTATGTTCCAAAAGTGATTATTCAATGTTCTAAAATATCTTTACTCAAAGAGGTTGCTAAACTAATAAGCTTTCATTCTAGGCTAATCGTACAATCTATTTAGTTGTAAAATAATGTCCATTTTACTGACAGTCGATTTCACATTAATCATTTTCGCTAGAAGTCAATAAATACACTGACCTAAGAAATGCTAGCACTAATAGTCTATTCATTACGCATTTCGCTGAAATAATGAAAGTTAAACGTTAAGTTGATTTATTACCCAAATTGTGAGAAGTTCTACACTATCTTCAGGTATTTCATTAAAAAGAATAAATGCGTTTTAAAAATGATATAATAATATATACATTTCTAACTTTATGAAAACTATTATGTAACACAAGTTAAAGTTAAATAAAAAAAAAACGGATACATAACTGAAAATGAAACTAAACTATTAATTTTATCTAACAACAAAAGTATCTTAAAAATGCTCGGCCGTTTTAAACCAGGTTGCTTTGTTTATATATACAATTTTAGTCCTGTTCAATGATATGTTTTCATAGATCATTTTTCATGTTGTCTGTGTGTTTTTCTGTGTTTAATTATTTTTTTCAAAGAAAAAAGAAATCATTTAACTTGCAATAAAATATATGCATAGCATAAAAAGAGATTAAAGTTTCATTTTTTTCATAAAATTGCATGCATTGTTACTGAAACAAACACAAAAAAGACAAAGTTGGTATTACTGAACATTCATCGAATGTAATAGAAATAACAAATAAATTATTTATGGAGAATTCTGATCTCATATCTAATTTCCTAAATGATATCGAAAATCAGAAAAAAAAACAAAAATCAATTTGAACATTGAAACATATCAAACATATAAAGAAAATATGTTTATGAAAGAAAGATATTGGATTTTAAAAGCTAGTATCAAAAATTGTAAAAAGGTTAAAGGCACAATATGTCCCAAAATATATCACAAAATTGTTCTATATGGACAATGAGTGAGTACTATTTTTTATGAAACGGTAACAAGATACCAAACATAAATAAAACTAACAGCACAACATTTTTGAGGCATGACGTGCCTTTAAGTATTTAATACCAAAGATTATGAACAAACAGAAGTTTATGGCACAATATGTCTCAGAAATTCATACTTATCAAATATTTTAATATTGCGCAATATTTTATTACACAAAAACTCAAAGCACTGATAAGACATATTATATATACATTTCCCGGAATTAATATTTTAGCAGAATCAAATACTAATAACAAGTTTGATTTTTTTTAGAAAAAAAAAGACAAAACAAACAAACTTTAGTTGAACATGATGAATAGGGAACGATCTGAGATAAGCATCGTATACGTCACTGATAAGAGACCTGTTCTAAAAATAGCCACATATCGATAACATTCGGACAAGGAAACTGGTTAATCTACATGTAGATTATACAACATGTAATGGTTACGAATACTTTTATTCACATTTCTCCCAATGGAAATGATGTTCCTGGGGTTAAACTTACGTAAAGCATGATTGAGATGGTTTAAAACCATCAGGAAAAAATAAGATGATATGGTGAAAAAGAAATAACTTTCGGGGGCAATACTTTCCCTGCATGTCAATTTGAGAAAAATGCCGGCGCTTGGCAATTTGTTTTTGTTTCACTGTTTATCAAAATTAGAAATGGTGATATGATATAGTATGATTTTAAGAAATTGGGACTAAAAATGAAAAAGTATCTTTCTGTCCCAGATATACCGCACAAAATTTTGTTTATATGTAAAATACGCAGATTGGAGAAGTCATGAATCTATCCAACAAAGTGCTACGAGTATTATATTAATAACTATAATATCTTAAATTAATTCTTTAATAATTTTAGAATACGCACAACTCTGCATTTTGTAAACTTCGCCTCATCAATCAAAAGAGTCAAACTTTTTTTTCTGCCTGAATGACAAAAACCTTTTTATTGACAAATATAGAGGCCAGAGCAGATTGTGACATATGTTTAAATTTAACTTTTCAAAAGTACACTGTGTAGTTGTCCCTTTTCTTTTCACACTAAATTCCATTTCCAACTTGTTTGCATTCTACAATTTCTTATAATATTGCATGTAAACAAAGTAAATATACGCTGATTAACATCATGTATAGTGTGAACTCCCTAATCCCTTGTCCGAAAGTCAGTTCAGGTGATGTAGTGGTGATAAGGTAAAATCTATTTTTAGAACAGTGTTACCTTCAGATCGAAGGCTATTGGGAATACCAAAATCACTTCAGCAATTCAAAGTTAAATGTTTATGCCTGATGTCTTCAGCGCGCATTCAAAATTGTTCGCGTTTGTTCCAATGCATCACTTGTCTTTTATCCGTTGTATCCGTATTTTATGGTTACTCCTTATTTGACGCCTTTTTATTTTAATATCCAGTATCATCTTCTTGATTGTTTAATGTCAAATCACTGTTTCTTTCTTCTTAAGGCTGAAAAATAAAATGAACAATTTCATTGCATTTTTTTCTCATTTCTTTAATGTAATAAAATAAGTCATACATTTATTCAAAAGTTTTAAACGATCAAATTGCTTGACACAAATGAAACACATGACTGTATGTATTTAATTGAAAACTTATCACTCAATTAAGGACTGACAAAATGTGCATGTATCACATACTCAATCTGAAATATATTCATTTTTTTACCCTCTGATGTGTGTGTGATATAGGTCTTAGAAATACACTTTAAGCAAAACGGGGTTTTCAAGTAGATATAATTTTATTTATTTGATTTATTGCAAGGATTAATACTAATAAATTTATTATGTTACTTTTTATTCATGGACAAATGGAACGAGTGAAAACAACATTTAAGGATCATTATATGCAAGAATAATAAACATTAACAATAAAAATCATATGGATATACATGTAATTTTTAGAAATAATTTATTAAGTCTTATAACATGCGTAAAATTATTATGCTTGTTAAAGTGTTAAGATTAATTGTGTAAAGTACAATACATGTAAAATTGTAATAATATAAGGTTCGAGAAGTTGAATTACAATAATTTCAGCTATCGTTACGATTCTTTTATTAAAATGCATGGCACACATTTGCATGACAATGAAAGAGATGTACCTAAGCTAAAACAATAGTTAAGAATCTTAATTAAAAACTTACGCAATAAAGGTAATAAGTCTGTGATGTTAATACAAATAGAAACAGGAAAATATTAACATCAATGTATACAAAACATGGAAATGGCGAGTATATAAATACCTGATTAATTAACAAATTTCCAAGCATCACTCGATTACCTCTCGATTACTTCTTCCTTGAAGTTTCAATAGCCATTGTTTGTAATGTTTTGCTTTTTAATTCGAATCATCACTGTCATTTAGTGTTATATTACGTTGTTTTAGTACACACACTTATACATTTTATATAACACATATGTACTATTCCCTGAGACTATTTTCTTCTATTTGAACCAAAACAGGCTGGGCCGATTCTCTCTTCTGATGTTGAATAACCCTTCGGTCATACTTCGGTTAATTCTGCCATTATATAAATGCTGAATCTGTTCAAAACACGAAAATACCATAGCACAGTCGTATAATAAAAGATATTTTATCGGTCTGTTTGCAATTTAATCTAATGAAACTTGGAATAATTAGACAAAATTCTTTTCATTAATTTAGCACAAAAAGCGTGTTCATTTTATGAAGATAATAATAGTAATAGTACCGGTATTGTGCTCATTTCAAGGAAAAACTCTTTAATTGAATTTTTGTAATTTTCAAAGATCTTAACGTACATAACATAACTTATTGATGGGTACCTGTATAACTTTATTCAATGTCTTGAAATATGCTGAAAAAATAAGTATATTTAATAAGATATTTTAAAAATATAAAGGTATTTTTTGGCGTTATCGTGTAACATTACAATAGTGTGCTAGTCTTTTGATAATATATTATGGTTTTCAAAATTCGAGTATTAGTCATATGCATCTGTATCTACTACATTAAGACATATGGCATGTTTTCATATTCAATTATATTAAGTGTATCCCTTTGTCGATTATGCTCTGTATCATTCTGTTTTGCTTTTTCTATAACAACAGAATATTATTTTCACATTGTCGTTTATCTGTTTGCACGAACAGCAGACATATACGTTTCTCTCACAAACCTTTTTCCTTATCATATCGGCTTCTTATGCATATATTTAATCAAATAGTGTACAATAAAACCTAGCAATTTTAATGTTTACAGTTTTATGGTGGTTTTTGTACTACATGTACTTTAGAAAGATAAAATATTTAGTAAAAGGCAAAAAATCTTCTAACGATAAACGTACATAAAGGCATGGGTAAGAAGGACTACAATAAACGTATGAAATATGTACCGTGTAAAACATTGAAAAAGTTTACTAGATACTGGAAACATAACCCTTCGCTATTACAGTATTTGTTTGATTACAGACTAATGTCAAACTTATTTTTAATATACACACCGGAAAACAAGAGACACAAAATCATTTAATATTCTGTCAAGACAATTACAAAGCAACAGGAAATGAAAATAACATTTATGTCCAAATTCATAGAAATTATATCATTTCAGTATTTTGACAGTCAGATACATTTGTAATGATAATATAATTACATTGAAACTTAATTAATTACGGTTATCGCAAAAGTTTAAGGAATCAAGAAACAAAGAAACAAGGAATAGAGAAACAAGAATTGTATGTATGTTTTTCCAAAGATAAACATATTACTAAAAACTTTTTTTAACATTTGTTATAAAGGCACGTGTGTAGCAACGCTGTATGTCGCAACGCCGCTATATGTCTCAATGCTGATAAATTATGTTTAATGACTAATGTTTGCTTACTTATCATGGTGCTAGCTACCGTTATAAATTTAACGCTGAATAACCGAACGTTAATTTACTTTATACCTGGTATATTTCTCAAGTTACTTCTACGATTGCACAACAAATGTCTCATATATCTGTAAATACGGTGTCACGTTATAACAGGCTGCAGTATACAACTTAACATCTAAATTATGAATTTCGACATCCGTTCTATAATAAAATAACGACATTAATCATATTTACATGTTTCACACGCTATAATGTGCTAAATGCAGTTCCACCATTGAAATTTATATGTTTTAATATGTATATCTTGGGCGTCCGTGGCCGAGTGGTTAAGGTCGTTGACTTCAAACCACTTGCCCCTCACCGCTGTGGGTTCGAATCCCAACAGGGACTTTGGATTCTTTCATGTGAGGAAGCTATCAAGCTAGCTTACGGAACGTCGGTGGTTGTACTCAGGTGGCCGTTCGTGTCTGAAATAATGCACGGAAGGGCACCTAAAGGTCTTCCTTCACCAGTAAAGCTGTAACGTCGCAACATGACCTCTACTGTGTCGATGTGACGTAAAACCCAGAACAAAAAATATGTTTTTTTTATTTTTATTTTTGCTAACACCCGTATGTTTTCAAACAACATGCTTATCATCCGGTCAGATTTATGTTTTCTAAATTAATTTGATCAAATTGATCGGTAAGTTGTGAATACCTTCGGGCACAGCAACATAAAGCAACACAATAAAACTCCGTTGAAAGTATTTATATATTGTTTTTGTGGCTTGTAAACTTATTAAAAGTGTTTATGTAACTTACATTGTATCTAATCAGCATTAAACAGCCTTAACATTACCCATACAAATTTTAAAACGAAAAAGCAATCAATTAAAGCACAGAAGGCGCTGAATTTGTTTGGGTCTCAGAATGTAAGATAAGTACAGGTTGTGAGATTATAGTGCCACCAATGCTTTCCAGCGTTTTAATTGTAGTAAATTGGCTATAAGACTTATTGCAACACTGATATTCAATCCAATGTTTATTTGACTTAAACAATTAAAAAAAAAGAGTTTAACTTTACTGGGAATTGGATTCCAGACCTCTCGCTTCCTAAGCGAGTGCGAAAACCCCTCAGCCACGGTGAATTTATGTGTGAACGGCCTGAAGAAAACAATATTATTCTAAATTAGGGCTTGTAACGACTTTAACTGTTGTTTAACACAGATGTAAATAATCCTGGAGCTTACTATAAGCATGTATATTTATAAAGAATCAAAGGGCTGCAAGTTCTGTGGTATTTTCTGATCTTTGCAATCTAAATCGTACTGTATATCTGTATGTATTTTCCTGTATAAGTTTATTTTTATGTATTATAATTCATCTCGCAAGGCACCAGAGTTTGATACATACGGAATTTGCATAACTAGAGTTGCATCAAAAAATCATTTATGTTCATTTTTTACGACAGCCACACTTTATCCTTGCATATCATGACTACTTCCTTAACAAAGACTCTTAAAAAAGAATTTTAAAAAAAAGTTTCCTCGACTGGGATTTGAACTCCAGACCTCTCACTCACTAAGCGAGCGCGTTACCCCTGCACCACGGAGAAGTTATACAAACCGTCTGAATAACATCAAGTCATTCTAAATTTAGAACTTCCATTGTATTTCGGTTTGTAATCCTTATTAATTACGAGGTATTTTGTTCTGGATAAACCTGTTGTTTAAAATTTAAGTAAATAATTTAGCGAAAACCTTCTCGCCTAAACAGTCCGACATGTAGAATCTATATATTCCACTACTCCGTTTGTGTAGTATTCGGTTATTGACATCGCTAAACTTAGTATTTTCATTGATAAAATCATATTCATCCGCGTAATTTGTGTTTGTGCATTTATTGACAATTCTATAAGCCAACGCTATTTTTTAAACTTTGAATGCGTTGTAATTTGTTGGATACTTGTAACAAAATAAAAGTATTTCTTTCTTTTAAATCGCTAGTTTTAAGCTGTTTTGAGAACTACTTGTTGTTAGGTTTTTCGAGAAACTTCTGTGTCAGAGATTGAATATCCGCTTTGTATTTACTTATTTTCGATCAGAAAATACAATAAAACAATATTAGAAACCTTCGACCATTCGGGAATTATTTTGCTTGAAAATTAATGCGTCTGTCTTTGACCATCTTTACGCAGTGATTTCCCCTGAATTTTTCGGCGTTAGTGTACATATAAAGGGAAGTAACCGCTTCAAAAAAGTGGACTACTTTCGGCATTTGCAATTAACAGCATTAGACTCTGAAATTTCGCTACCATTATTTGTTTGATCTGACGACCCAAACAAATAAAAACTGTTTAAAGATATTGTTACACATCACGGTTTGACATTATCTTTAAGTAACCCATATTTCTGTTTGTTTATTCCAGAATGTTTCTCAGTATGTTTTAAATAAATTTAAAATAATACCTGGCAGCCACATAAATAAATGATCCCTTCCAGTTTCAGAATTATTCGATCATAATAATTCGACATTAAATAAACTCTCGGGACAAAAAGTGCAGTTTACATATTTAATTGCAGGTCACAGTGTCATTAGTTCAATATTATTTTGAATTGTTCTTAAACTGCAAAATCGCTCAATGCAGATTTTTAGTCAAACTCGGCCTTTCATATTTTGAATTAAAATAGACTATTCATCTTTTTTTTCTGTGGCAAAAAACGTTTTATTTACAATGCAATAAACTTTGTTTTAATGCAGGACTCCATTCCAATAATAAAACAGTATTGTGCAAAAGCTTGGTTTTGAAGAAAATGCTCCAATCTTCTATTATTGAATATTAAACATTATCAGCAAATTATTCATGTGTATTACGCATTTACACTACAATTATAGAAGACGATGGTGAAATAGAGAAAAACAGAATCCCTAAAGTAAGCCCAACACGGCTCGGTTTGATTGAGCCTTTTCATGGACGGTACTGGAAAGTGCAAGTTACCATCCACGCCCCCTAGCACCGGCTTAAGCAGAATTCAACATTTCACATGAACTGGTACATTTTTTAATCAAAGACAAGTTGTGGTCAAAAACAGCCAATGCCTTATTTACACAAGGTCAGAAGAAAAAAAATTGTACATGAAAAAAGATTATGAAACAGTTAGATTAAATTATTTGACAATAGCGTCTATGACTGGTTTCATTGTAAAACGCCGTGATATTTACAAAAGTCCTAATGCACCGTATCAACCATATACTGCATGTTATTCATTACATGTACACCAAACAACGATCCTATTTGATAAGTTGGCATTCTAATAGTTAAAATACTTTCACGAGCGGTTGATACTCTTAAAAATGATAAGAATCAATGAATGTGAATAAAGAAACATAATGCTACATGTTATAATCTTTTGAAAGTTTCGTAAGTTTTAAGATTTAAGGCTCATTGATCTTATTAGTATATAGATATATCTTATAAAACTTCTTTTAAAATATTTGAAAAGCTTGTGCATTTTTTTTCGCAAATCGTCGTCTGATGAATTACTGAAACTGCGTTAATTGAGGCAATATCTCGTTTTGCTATCTTAATTTAGGTCATTTTGACCCTCTCTTGACCCTTGTTTATACCATACAGCCTATCTTTATACTACCACTTTATTTTCACAAGCATATTTGTTTTAATATAATTGAATAGTCACATTAAAAACAACAGCTTTTATTTTGATTTTGTTGATAAAAATATCAATATTTCTATTCATTTATATCGTTTTTTTTATTTCAAAGTAACAAAATATTTGTGCATTATGATTAATACCTTATATACACGTAAAAAGTTCAACAAAGTATTTTATTTAAACGCGTCGACACTATTATTGACGCGTTTCGCTAAATGCAACTTTAAAGTCTTTCTAATTTTTTGTTTTCCTAGGTGGGTTGTTCCAATGTACCTCACTTAAATAATGTTGAATCACCCTTAGTATAAATTGCCTACTTTCTAACTTTGTCTTGTGATAGCTTATCTATGTTAATATAGAGCCTTCATAACCTTACATCCCCCTTAAAAATTCAATTTTATTCAGTTCCGTCCATTGTTTTCTCCTTAAGTGCACACGCACTTTTTACCTGGGGCCATATGCCGCTTTTCATGAAATTGCACTTAATTGTCCTATTGAAAGTTCTATGATAAACAGGTGATGTAAGGTTATGAAGGCTGCATAACATAGATAAGCTGTTAAAAAATAAAAAAAGAAAGCAGGTAACTTATGCTAAGGGTGATTTAACATTATTTAAGTTAGGTATATTGGAACAACCCGACTAAGAAATCAACAAATTAGAAAAACTTTAAAGTACCAAACAAGTGCACTCACAACAATAATGTCGTGCAGGACGATATTCAATAATACCTTAATTAATACGCCACGCATCGAAGGTTTTAGGCCCACTGACACAAAGTTAAGTTAGAACCTAGAATGTGTGTCATATTGATTAATGTATTATGAATTATATCCAACACTGGACTGACAAAACACATTTGCCCTC